TGCCCATACTTCGGTCTCACCCTCTGGTACCTCGGCGTAAGCTCGTACCGTTTTTGTTTTTTTATGTTTTTCATTTTCGCTTTCTTTTTTATTTTGATACGAGCAATAAGCCGTTAAATAGGTCTCAAACCCGGAAACCAGATCCATTTCGTTTGTCGGCTGTAACCACCAGAGGACTGTGTCTGTATTCAAGGGGGGATTTTGTTTGGTCTTTTTTTATCCAGCACCCTTGAAATTCAAAGTCAGAGGAATGCAAAAAAATATATTGCTGGGTCGGAGAGCAAGTCCTTTTGAACTAAAGAGTAAGCCCTTGATACAGTTGCTGGAGAAACAGTAGTAGCAAAATCTCACTTTCTTCATTTCGCTCTCAAGCTTTCTAACAGCTGAGCAGAAAAGAAATAAGTTGAATTTCGTGAGGATTCAAACCTAACTTTTTCTCAATTTTGCTCTCAAGGTCTGCAACAGCTGAGCAGAAAGAAACGGGTTGACCTTCGTGATTCAAACCTCACTCCTCTTGAATTTTACATCCTATGATCTGCCAGCACCCTTGACATTCAAAGCCAAAAGAATTCAAAAACATTTTGCTAGGTTTGAGAGTATCTCCTCTTGAACTAAAGAGTGAGAGTGCTTGACAATTGAGGGAGACATGTCAATATTGACTGAAGCTCATGGAGTTGAGCCTCAGTTTTTGATACACTGAATTAAATCAGGAAGAGCAGGGAGGAGTACATGGGGCTGTGGATGGTCGCCGATACTCAGTGATCCACGATTTTGATGATCAGTTTTAATAAATCATCAAAAAAAGGAAGTCAGTGACTGATCTAAAAGCCATTCATGACGATGGTCCGAAGCTGAACACCGCCGACCGAGCATAACTCTCGCTCATGGGTGTAGGTGGGACTTTTTCCAAGGAGGGAAGAGATCTTTAAAAAAAATTGGTCATTAGTTTGTTTACAATCGTAAGACAAAAAAATGTAATAATATGATCTTCGTTACAATCATTTATTTTCCATAATCAAAAAGACCTGCGATACAAATTTCTGTAACAATACTCCAAGTTGCTCGTCGTTAACGAAACTGGTGTAAGCTCTGGCAGAAATTCGAGCCAGAAAAATAGCTCAAACATTGAATTTAAGCAAATTACAGTTTTCGCTCGAAAGAAGAGAACCCCTTGTCACAAAAGAATACCAGTCAATTGTTCGCAAAAGACAGTGCTTAACCAGACATACCGTGTGGATATTGATTTTTGCAATTGGTTATATACTACAGAATCAGTTTGGACCGCTATTGTTATAGAAGAAACGACATATTGAGTATCGATGGACATTTGTGTTGGGTTGGAAAAGGAAAGTGCAGCTTTAATTACAGGCAAGCCAACATGGAACTTGAAGCACTGAATTTCACTTGCTTACTTCTGTGCTTGCTTTTGTTACGTTTGCGTAAGATCATTTACTAATTGCCCATAATCGGATAGGCCTGAAATCACTCTTCTTAGACCTAAAGATAAAAGCAATGAAGGTGCAAAATAAATATATATATATTGTAATAGGACCAGTCTCAAAGTGAATACAAAGTATCAGAGAATGAAAACTAAGACGCGTCATTGTCGCCACCAAGAGCCCAGAAGTGTGTGTATGAATATTTTTAACATCGATCGTGGTCCTTTTAAGTGCCATCGCATAGTAATGTACTACAGACAAGACTTGTAGCTCAGTTTATTCAATTAACGCTCGTTTTTGTTCTTCTAAGATCCTATTCAGTGCTACCAAGTCCTTAGCCATGGCGACACATTCGCTCTTCAATCCCTGTAGTTCATTCTTCATTTCCGCTGATAAGTTGTGCGAGACACGTCTTATGTGTTCTGCCTCATTTACAATCGCTTCTAAGCTTCTCTTTGAAGATCGAAGATCACGGTCGCCGCGATAAGTTTTTGTTTCTTCGTCTGACGACATTAGATAAGAGGTTTCAATCAAACTTGCAGTTATATCATCTTTAAGCTCCTGTAATTCAACGATTGCCCGACGAGCGCGTCTGCTATTAACGCCGTGAAGGTATTCCATGGCGTCATCCAGGGCGTCGAGGACAATCTGCAACTGTTTCCTCCACTTTGCAAAAGAACGGAGATTGTCTCCTCTAGATGATTTTTCTCGTCTCGTTCTCTTTGTTTTCGAAGAATCTTGGCTGCATTTGTAAACGTTGTTTCGTGCACTTTCTTCGATTAATTTAAGCTTGGTCGCGAGTTTATCCCGTTGTCGGAGTTCGCTGTCTCGATTTCTATGGTGCTAATGAAATAAGTCGTTTGTTTGGTCAAGTCTTCTGTGTAAATTTTCTATCTGAAAGTAAACAGAATCTCGAGCTGGCATGCAAAACCCGCATTCAAACGCCATGATTGTTTCGTAGTGCAGGTGAAGAAGGTTTCGATGATGGACGCAAAGTGTCCAGTCGGTTGCAGGTGTTCAACTCTTAAAAGCCTAGCTTATCTTATCATTAATTCTCCCCTCTAGGTGCTACACAGTTCCTTGTACAGTAGTTAGGAGAATTTGGATTTTTATCAAGAGTACACCCACTCGTTGACAAGTTTGCATATTCTCATCACCAATTTGCTGGATAGTAACTTGAGTTTGTTATGAGAAGTTGGGAGCTTTTGAATCCTGGGAGTCAAAGGGTTAACCGCAATTAATGCTAATGATTGGTTGTTGGGATGCGGTAGCGAATGAAAACGCAGAAAAATATAAGATGCTGATCTATTTTTAATTATAGGAGAGATACTTGATAGAGTGACCCTACGAATAGTGTCTCCTTCGATCTTGTTAACTGATGAAAGTAGGAGATAAGACTCCGCTCACTTGTACTTGATAACCTGGATGAAAAACGTTCGTGGCGTCGGCGACCCAGCCAAAGAAAGCAAACTTGACTTCTCAAAAAAGATACTGCCCCCTTTTGCTCATTAATTAGTTCAGCTACATCGTGTTGGGCTTCTGGGGCAGCTTTGTCTCAGGGTAGAGTTATGCTTTTGATCTGAACTCGGAAAAACTAAAACTATATAAGATGAAATAAAGTTTACAGCGCAGTCGGCCTCGGTCTGCCACAAATTGTCCGAATTAGAATGTACAGGGCAGCCAACTTGTATATTTATTTATTTGGTTTTTCAGTCTTTCTGAGGAAAATTCTTTAAAATGGAATATTAGTTGGCGAAATGCGCTGAAAATCTTTATTGCAGGTATTTTTTAGTTGAATTGGCTAGAGTTTAGAGACATTCCTATCCAAATTGGGCCATGACACCGAGCAAAATCGTTTGTTTTTTTTCTTTCGGTCAGATTATTTACAGAATCATATATCGCATGTGTAAATTTCTAGTAATTGCGACAAATCTGTCAATTAATATTTTGTTCACAAATCTGAGACAAGATTCACCGAATTTGCCTCCGATACCATCAGTCATATTTTGATCCTCATTTCATGTAAAGAACCTCACAAACTGCGATCCTCGGTTATATCAAAGTACCTACTGTTTACTCGGTAAGTTTTGATTAAAGCTGAACAAGGGATAAGGTCGCTAGTCGCAGTTATTACAACGTTTTGCTTTTTTTGCTGGGTTACCGTTTCACAGGTCAGTAATTGGATGTCAAACATTACTCTGCCCCCTCAAATCGAAACGTAACTGGCTGATCCTTATCAACACTTAATTCTTGTTTCTCTCATCAGTAATAAACAGTTCATTACCGTAATTATAGAAAAAACAAAGAAAGATTTAACCGAAATTTAGCCGAAATATAAACGTCTCCGAAAATTGCCAATTATTATTTTAAATGGTTAATCTCATTACTACGTGCATGTAAATTGAGATGTCGTTAGTCCTTCTGCGAGGCACTTAGGAAAATCAACAAACTGTAAAAAGATAAGGTCAAAATTGCTTTGTATTGTTTTCACTTTTTCGTATAATTTATAATAATGTAACTTTCATCCACGAGTAACATTTGTTCAACCCAGTGACATTGTCTCGTATTAAACCTAATTGCCTTGCTAATTGCAAACTCACAGCTAAACCAAAAAAGTTTTAAATACTATCTATCTTGTGGTCGTTTCTACTTTCATTGAAATAATTCCTTTAGTGCAATGATATTACAGAGAAAAAATTCTTCCTGAGACTAATTCCAATAACATCTGTTTCAGTGACATTTCCAGGACGTTTTTTCACGGTAGACTCCCAGTCACTAACAAGCACGGTAGATTCCCAGTCACTAATGAGCAAGAGCGTTGCGGTGAAAATCTCCCATCCCTTGAACCTGAAGGACAAAAGTTTTGTACTGCAACTTTAAATTATCAGTGTGCCGAATTCTTCGATCGTTTGTCGCAAAATCAACACTGTTTTCGCATCAGGATAGGAATATATCACGGTGGTGAAATATCTCATATGGCGGCCTCGAATATTCATCCTCAGTGCCGTGAGACGTAACCAAGAAGCCCCGAAATTTCGCGTCAAACTGTCGCAATCAGATGAAAACATTTAATTCCTCCTTTCCGTCTAGGCTTCGAATAGCACGATTCTTCTATACACTAATTCCATCCTTTCCACGCATAAGTATTCACAACACCTTGCTCTTTCATGGCTCCAGTTCGATTGCGATCCGTAGCTTTCTTCTCTCCATCTTTCGTTAATCTTTCAACCATTTTCTCAATGTCTTCATCTTCCATCTCGTGTACTTCCACCTTGGTTCTTCTGTCAATGGGCGCTTTTTTCTGTTCATTTCGACTTGTCCAGTCTGGTATGTACAGGCGATCGACTACCTGGTTAATTTTCCTATCGGATAATTTTTGGTATCCCATGAGAAATTCCGGATTGCGTTCTTTCGGATGTGTAATAGTACCCCACGGTTTCTTCGCCATCTTCCCTCCACGTCTGAAAAGCCCGCAGAAACGCGCAATGCTTTTGTCTGAATTTTAAACCCACTTAAAAGTGTCACGTAATAAAAGAAAAAAAAAACAACAATGCAGATTCAATTACAGAGTGGGCTGAGAGAATTACTTCATTTCCATAACAAAACGCTCAGACAAGTCCTTAGGATCTTTCTATTCTTGTTTTTATTTCGCTGCGTTGTAATGATCTTATTGATAAAGCAAATGAAACGTGTTTGCTATTCGGCCGGATTACTATTTAATTTAAATGCCACCGAAAACTGTCTGATTATCGAGTCGGAAAGGGGCAAAGGATTATTCAAATGGTCTGGCTAAGCCACGAAATGTTTTACAAGGTTAAATGTTAAATTATTTAAAACGTGAGTAGGTGGAAATTGGACGGTATCATGTTATCTCTACTACTACTACTGTCTATAGTATGTAAAAGTGGTCGGCGAAATACAAAGGAAATCATAGCATCATCTGGTCAAATATGTTACGACCACAAGAACAAGAAGACTTGAGAAGTGAGCGAAAAAAACAATTCAAACTGTCACGCATTCTTATGTCGCGATTCAAAGAGTCACACTTCGTTTAAGGACTTTCTTCCCCACAAAGTATAGCTTGATGATTGCAGCCATTCCAAGCATAAGAATTCAGAGCAGCTCCCCATTCGTTTTTGAAACGATGCACCCGCCGAGTATCGGGTGTTTTCTCCAAGTTGGTTTCTTTATGCGCCAATCTAGCAACCACTGCGTTGATGTCGTCACTGGTCAATTTTCGTTTCTCAATCGCCGGCCGCGGTCGCTTTTTGTTTTCCGCCGGTGATGTTTTCGGTCTACTTAATCGTTCGACCATACTGTCTATCTCTTCCTCACCTAGTTTCTGGTACCCTAGTTCAAATGGCGGCTTAGTTATTGTTCCCCACGGTTGTGAAGTCATGATGTAAATTAGTTAGCACTGCGTCTTCTAATGAAAGTGTGTAAATTTTCGTATTCTACCGTGAAGAAGCAGCCATATTGTCCTGATCGCTTAAAAGGCGCTTAGAACTGCATCGTAAGGGATCGAAAATTCCAGAAATGCATAACTAGGACGCCAAATTCTGTTCAGTAGAACTCTTAGAATTTGATTACGACGAAACGTTCATTAGTGCCCAGTGCCTACTCGGTTGTGTTACCGACATGCAAATGGTACTACTACTTCTATTTGCTTTATGACGGCAAAATTTTGGGCAATTCTTGTGATTTGGTTTCACCTCACCGTCCTTTTCTTGGTCCAGCTGCTCATTAAACCATCTCTATATCATGGAAAAAGTAATTGGAATCCCTAGAAAAATACCCCTTGTCCTGACCTGAGGCCTTGCCGGTAATACCCAGGGTTAACCACATAACACAAACAAACAAACGAGTATAGGATCGGGAAATTTAAAAGTCTTCATTGAGTAAAGGAAACAGCATGGTTTCGAGTGCAATTTGATGTTAATGAGCACGAGTAAATTTTAAAAAGCAGTTTAAAGTGCCTATCGACACCAAATTGCACGAGGAATCATGTTGTTACTTGTTAATAATTTACATGAAAAACGCATTAAAGAAAGTCAAGACGGACGAAATTTTGGCGGCGCGCACTATTTGTAATTTGCACTCGTGTTACAACTTTGCACTTGTGTTACAACTTTGCACTCGTGTTAAGTAAAAATGCGCTTCGAGCCAATCAGACGCGCGTAACTTTTTCAGGTATGTTACTAGTTTTATAACAAGAATACTCAGAGAATTGAAGCAGATAAGTCTGCCATGGCAAACGAAAGTTGTTTCCATTTGATATTTTTAGTAGGATCTAAATAAATTAAGAAGTCTTCCTTATATTTTCTATAAATAATGAATTGGTTTTCAAGTAATTCGTGGAAATACTAAGTTATTAATACAACTTCTTGGAAATCAACGACCAACAATTCATTTTGATATTCTTTGTAATTCTTGTTTATTCTTTCAATGAACGTTTGATGTAAACTCAGTAGGTAATGGAGTCTTATTTAACCGTTTAACTCCCAAGATCTCACTGGTAATTCTTCTAACTGTCTGCCATACAGTTCTTGTGATGTTAGTTTGGAGAAATTGGTGTTGGATCAACTTATAATCCCCTAACTTATATTTTTCTTCATTCTCGTCACTTTTCTCCTTGATATTGTATTGATATTGTAAGGAGAAATTCTGTCTTGGTCAATCATAGGAGTTAAAGGGTTAAACATTGCCTTGCTAACAGAAACTATATCAAATCGAAAAATGCAACTGAAAAAGGTACTACTGAAAATTTTCGAACATTTGCCTGGAGGCATGTCTGTATTGTCATAGTTATCGTTTCACGCAATCGTAAAGCACACCACAGCTACTTAACAGCTATTGTTAGTGAAAAAAAATTACGATGATTCTCACAAAATTACTTGTACTGAACTCTCAGCGGCAGGCAAATTTTGGTGCACCCACTCAAATCCATGGGGCACTTATTTTCATTCACTCAATACCAATTGCCATCAGCTCTTGTGATACGACTCTTTAGCAGTCTTCCGTCTATCCAAGCATAGGTATTCACAATCCCCATGACTTTTGCAGCTCCGATTCGCTGTCTCTCAGGCGTCTTTTCTCGGTTCTTTTCAGTATTTGCGAGCCTCTCAAGCATTTCAATGATTTGCTCCTTGCTTAACGACTTTCCATTCGCCTCATTAGCTTTTTTCGTGTCGGCTGGTTTTGGCGCACTAAGTCTTGCAACAACAGCGTCCAGTTCATCTCTTGGCATGCTCGCTGTTTGTTTATATTCTGGGTATTTTATGTAACTTGTCCTGTTCCAAGACATTGCGGTTATAAATGAACCTTCCACCTGCAAAACGCTCAAGGTTAAGATCTCATTTCTTGGCGACAAAGCTTGTCGCTTGCTGGGCTCAGTAAGGCAAATACGTAAGCAAGACCTAAGCCTTTTCAAATGAAATGAGTCCAATTGTTCAGCACTTACAATAACATTGATATTCTTGAAAAACGCAGCGGGCCAATGACGACAGAATTTAGAGGATTAGTGCTCAACCAATGTTTTGTTTATTTAATAACAGAAAAAATAAGTTATTTTCTTTGTGCACGTAATGGAAAATAAAAGCTTCTATATACAGGTCACAAGACTTTTAATTAAAATCATTCAGGTGAAGAGCACCAAAATATGAAACAAACAGAAAGAATAGTTCTATGTTGACTTTATATATTTATTCGCTAAGGGCCTAGTCCTCAATTTCAATTCACTGTTTATCAAAATATACTTAAATTTTAAAGTTTCATGGCAGATGGCATGCACATCAGTGCAGCAAATCCTTCTAATACTTTGATCAAATCCATTATTTCCCTTAAAACATATTCTACGTCACGGTACTGGTTAATTCAAAAACAACATATAAAGACAATAACTTTATCAGTTATACTGCGTAGAATAACATCTGACTATGATCCATGTAATGCGCTTCTACATAACCCTAAGGCTCAGTTCAGAAGCCGTACTTTAGATTGGCTCAGTCAATTAATCCCGCCTGGTTCAGCCGGGAAGAACGGCTATTGGCCGACTTTGATTCAGACGCCATACGTCAATTGAGCCGAGCCAAATGCATAATTATTTTAGTGTATTTTTCATGTTTTTTTTTACCCGAGAGCATGCGCAAAGAAGTGGTTTACAGGAGAAAAATGACGGCTTGGCGGGCCATACTAGACGATGGTGACATGTGTTGTTCGTGTTGGGGCACAACCAAATATACTTGCTTGAAATGTAGCATCTCAATTTGCAATAACTGTTCAATTTTTGAAGAAGACGAAGATTACCATGGATGGGTCGTTGGTAAAAGCGTCGCCATTACGACGGTTTGCTTTCATCTTCTTCTTCTTTTTCTTTTTGCACTGCTTCATTTCCAGCCAAAGAAAAGCTTTTTTTCGCAGATTGCTGCCGGAATCCATGACGTCCGCCACTTTTACAATTGTATGCTAAACCAATGATCAAATATTAATTTTCTTCGATTAATTAATTTCGGCCGAATATAGTTCGGTGTTTGAATCAATTAATCTAGAATTAACTAATTTTGGTCCGCCTATCGTGGATTTCAATTCGGCGCAGCTGAGGTACGGCGTCTGAACCGGGCCTAAAACAAAGATGTCGACTTCAAATAATTATTTTCTGCTAAGCTGCTGGAGCGAGTTCCAAAATTCCCAGTCATTTCGAATTCTGTGCTGCAAACTAACAATAAGTTTCCGAAAGAAATTATCCTGGTATTGTGGCGCTTGCGAACTTCTGAACAAAGAAAATGACATTTTTACCACTCTTGAGGTCGTCACGAAATTGGCTTCTATCTTGCGCATTGCCACAAATAATACTTAAGTTGTGCCAATTGGTTATAATAATGATAAATGATGTACAAAGAGATCTATTTTCTACTATGAAAGAAAAGGATTCTACGAAAATTGTATCTGTAAATTTTAACTATAACTTTGGTATAGCTAAGAGGTTCCACTCCAAAATATTCCCCAACTTTGTAATAGGTGTCTCGAGCAGGAGGTGGGTGCGTGTTTAGCAGCGAGAATCTCGCAAAGATTCTTTCATTCCCTTTCATTTTTGGTTAAAGATAGAAAAGGAAACTATTCTTATATTAATGTTTCAGGGCTTTGTTAATATCCTTTGAAAGCACCACGCCTTCTACGCTAAGACTCAAGCGATTTCAAGAAAAAACTTGCTCAGTACAGTTCCCGATTGCTCTTTCCGATGTAGAGTTTCTGTTCGCTACAAAGAAAATATTATGTACCGGACGTTGCGGCAAAGCCCTATGTCTCACATGAAGCGATTAACTTTCTAAGGTAATTTCTGTAGATTTTTTTTCTGAAAAAAGAATAAATGACATCATTGTCTATGGCTTTAAGCGGGCTGTTGTGGTTCCGCTGTAATTTAATCTGTTTTTAGGTTTACGGAAATATAAACTAACGAGAAGACGAAGGGAAAAGGAAGGCAGCTTTCAAGTTTTTGTTGTTTCTTGTCGCTTTATTTCGCGTCATTCTGCCGAAATGTGTGACTTCGTTGCTAGAAACTAACGATGATTCTACAGAGATAAAAGCAGCATGACAGAGACAGCCAAGATGAGGAATACGTCATGCAAGACCACAGGTATCGTCCCAGCCATCTGATCAAAATCACCTTGGAAAAAAAGGTAAATGGTTAAAATGGAGGAACATAAAATTAAATTAAAAGAGAGAATAACAGACAATGCATGTAACGAATTATATTCCTCTGTCTCTAAAAAAATTGGAAACTAGCTAGCGGGAAGGGAGAAACCCTCTGGCAAGTAATTTAAGACTCGCCATTAAGAAAATAGGAAGCTGACAGCAACCCAGAAAATTAGGGACTGCTGTAAAAGGCTATGATCAAACCAATATTGCGTCTAGTGAACTGCGCATATTCAGAAATCACCCTTACATCAAATTCGGTTTTGTTTAGAAATAATAAAATTTATAGTCTCTTGGTTTTGTTTAAGAGACAATAAGGAAAGTTTTTTACCCTTAACGCTCATAATGAACCTATATTCAACTAGTTAAAACTCTTAATCTATACAACAAATATCTATTTCAAATAGGAAAGATTATGTTTTCGTTCAAGACAGGCCGTCTTCCTGATTCTATGAAATATTATTATCGTTGTCGAGTAGCATTCATTTCTATTACACCAGGCGATGCAATTTCTATTACATACTCCTTCGTAGAACAAATGTTAGACAACTTGTGTTATGTTCCCAAGGTCCTAAATTTTTCAATATAGAAATCCAAAATGCTGGGGCCCTTTCCCTCTTAAGTCTAAATTGCGAATATTTCTCCTAAGTTGTCTCCCTTCGATCTTCCTTTTCTCTTACTTTTCTCAAGCTGCTTGAGAATATGTTTGTTTCCGTGTCTGCTGTTGTTGTTGTTGCTTCGTGTAAGTGTATGTTCTTTCCTTTTTAACCTAGAATATTTTGTACCTAAATTACTTCGTATAACTGTCATCTTACTTTATAAAATAATAGGAGCGTGTAGCTTACTTAAGCCTTTTGGTTTCTCTACGGGTTTCCTTGGCACGTGTTGAATTTTCAGTTACATTATATCCATTTATATGGAGTTCCCTTTATTTATACGCTGTATTAAAATTGCAAAATGGCAAAATAAACAAATAAACACTAAAAAATAGACAAAGGAACCGGTCTTTATTTATTGCCTGGGAGGGTAGCCCAATTGAGATCAATATGATATGTTTCGATATACGCAAAGGACTGGCCATACATAAGTATTGGCAAGCTGCTAATACTTATACAATACGCTTATGTACTTTACTTACCGGGAATTACAATG